TATATATATATATATATATATATATATATATATATATATATATACATGTACATATATACATACATGTGCAGCGTCGAGCCAAGTGCCACAGCAGGCATACATGGATACACAAACGGGCGCAGCGACTGACCGAGTGCTGCCGTGGGCTGCGAACGCAAGTGTTCGCAGAGAGAGAACGAGAGGGAGAAAGTTAGTTCTTAGTCGTCGGGAAGCCATCGATACATGGATGGTGTAGGGCGAGGATGCATGCATGCCATGGCCATCTGACCCCACCACACACGCTTTTTCTCTCTGCCCTCGCCCTCGCCCGCGATGCACACCTACACATACACAGCACACACTCCCACTCTTGGGCGGCGAGTGCGGGGCATCCAACCACCGCCATGGAGCATGTATGCACTCTCCAATCACCCGCCGCCAGAGACACCAACACCCATTGGTGGCTGACGTGCACACGCCGACTCAGCCAACGTCCATGTGCGCCAGCCGGCCGTCTTGCCACATGCGGCACGCTGCCCGTGGCAAAAGCTGCACGGCCACGGCATCCAGCGCGTGCCACCGGAGCCCTGTGCCGATACGACGTCACTGCCCGCTTGTACCTCTGCGTACTAGTATCCCTCAATACGGCTATACGTCTAGCAGTAGTCGCAGTGGCAGTGGCAGTGGCAGTAGGTGTCGGTGTCGGTGTAGTGCATCTACCAGCAAACAATGCCATCACCTCGTGCTTGCACTTGCTTTGTCTCGGCTAAGCACGTCCTCCCACCATTACCCCAGCTTCTGTAAGGACCCGCCGTTGCGCTATCAAAACAAACTTCAGCGCCCTGCATCCGTGCTCCTTCCCCTTCTTCTCCTACGTACTTACACCTACTTACCCTGTGCTCCCCCAACCCTTGGTCGCGCCTTCCATCTCATCCCTCTGGCTGCTGCCCCTCCTGACCCCTCGCTCCTTCCGCTTCTGCTTCGTCCAACGTCACGCGCCTGCCCCGGCCCATTCGTCTCATCACCCACGCCTCCAGCATGACCTCTCTCTCTCTCACCCAACTCCACATACCCCCGCCATTCAGTCATCAACGGCTATCCCAGCAGCCTCCCCTTTACCCACGCGCAATCAGACAGCGCCCGCCCAGAGCAACCTGCGGCACCATGCCCGGCCTATTAATCTCAGCAATCACCGTGGACAGCAGGCGTTTGCTTGCTCCAGAGCCCCAGTTTCACTCTGGCAAACATCGCCCGCGCATATGAATGGATCCCAAGAAATGGCTTCAACCGTGGAGGGCGTGCTTCACGCAAACAACATGCTCCTTTTCTTTCCTGGGCCGATTCTTTGTCACAAAGGCACAACAACCTTTGATGGACCCCCCGTTGACCATGAACAAGCCCATCACCATGGCCTCGCCACCCACGTCTTTGCATGACCTGCCCACGGAGCTCATTCTCGATATCTGCGATTTCCTCGCCCTGGACGCTTTGCTCGCACTCAAGCTCACTTCGCCACGGCTAAACAACGTCATACGTCTAGACGCACGTCGCTGGCAGGGCCCGCTTTCAACCTGCACACAACGCGCTATTCGGAACCACTTGAAGCCGTCGCTTGTCGAGGCCGGCTACCGACACTGTACACTATGTAATGCGTCGTACCCCCTCAGCATGTTCAGCACCTCGAGCAGCCCAGCATGCCTTCCCATCAAACTCACAGCCATGCCCCATGACGTGGTCCAACTGCCGCCCAACATGTGTGCCTGGCACGTGGGCAGGCTGGCAAGAGTGGTGCGCACACACGCCAGTGGCCGGAACGAGTGGGTCGCTCGCCCAGACAAGATGTGTATGCACTGTGGAAGCATCCAGGCCTGGGCCAAGTGCGGCTGCCAGTGCGAGAGTTGCTCCCTGTGGCCAGTAACGACGTACACGCGCCATCTGAACAACAGCCACGAGTGCAAGAAGTTTGTCTTCTGGAACGACGGCGCTCGGACGACTGAGAACGGGGCCTGTCGAATTTGGGTTCGGGAGACGTGCTGGGACCCTGGTAAGTGATTGTATTTCGCGCAGAACTAGCGCAACCCAATGCCTTCGCCGAGATTGACGTTGGCAGACGCCGTCGGGCACCCATCCGACATGAACTTGCCGGTCCGATTTGCCTGAGATGGCACACACACACACACACACATACATGCATAGCCACGAGATAGCTGTTCTGTTCACGTCATGGCAGGAAACAACGTCATGACGGAAGCGCGTTGAATGTGCTCCCCATCGAGGCCCAGGCCGTAATACTCATACTCTTTCATTTGGTACATGGTCATGCTAGAATGCAGTCTTTTCATCGTAAATCGTTCCAGACACAAGGCCAGCCTTTTCCACATCGCCTCGGACCCTGTGCCGGCCAGAGCGTAGCTCGTGTCCCCATGTGCGCACGCTTATCAAGGCCCACCACTGGGCCAGCATCAGCAGCATGCCGAATGCTGCGCCCCCAAACCTGATCATGGTCAGGCTCCGCGAGCACTTTTGCACCCACTCGGCATCCCACCCAAAGCCCGCATCCATGTCGCGGCACAGCGACGACTCGTCGACGGCATAGCTCGGCGTTAGCGGATTTAGCAGCCGGAAGTCCCAGGGAAGCACCATGTTGATCAGAGCAAGCGTGACAAACGACAGTGTCACGGTATGGACCAGTGTGTAAGCTGACACAAGACTTGGTAATGACTGCATGCGGCAAGGTCAGCATGGGGGGAGCACTATGACAAATGGCACGATACGGGCAAATGCCGGACCATCCGACACCACCACTACCATGACCAGTAGTCGTACCAAGAGCGGGGCAAAAGAGGGCAAACTTACCCTGATTGCGCCCACTAGGCCCAGTATGCTCGCACAGCAAGCAAGCACATTGTATGCCACGGACAAGTATGCGTCGTCGAGATCGGAGCCCGGCAGGATAAAGGACAGGGCGAGGAGGCTATGTGTGCAAAAAGTGAGGCATGGAAGCACAAGAGCCAGGAACCTGTAGAGGCCGTTAGCTTTTTTTTCTTTCTTTCCTTTTTCACATGTTCACACGCATATATGGCGAGGCCAAGGATATGTGGAGACGATGCCAAGCGAACGAACGAACCTTAGATGACGGTGGTCTGTCGACAAGGACATGTTCAGGCGTGGTGGTAATGTGTCGGAGGATGGGCGGAGGTGTGAAGCCGAGATGCGAGGCGGAGATGCGAGGCGGAGATGCGAAAGCGAATCCAGCGCTGCACCGCCTTGGCCAGGGTGTTGAGGGCGATGCGATGTGTATTGAGGTGTCGAGGTGTCGAGGTGTCGAGTGGATGAGTGGATGAGTGCTTGTATGCGCGAGGCGATGCGCAAGAGGTGTTTGTGTGTGTGTATGGGTATATGTGTGGGACATGGATGCAAGCAGGCGTGTGTATGCGCGTGCACGAGGACAAGCGCGTGTATGGGTATGAGTGCGTGGATGAGGGTGCGAGCGTGCGAGCGTGTGTGGTTCAAGAAAAAGAGAAGAAGACCAACAGGCGGACGAAGGAAGGAAGGAAAAAGAGGCGCCCAAAAAGAAAAAGGCCAAAAGCCCAAAAGGACGCAAAGACCAACAAGCAACGACGTCAGCGGTTCTGGGGGGGAGTTCTAGTCCAGAAAAGTAAAAGAAAAACAAAGGGTTAACGTAACGTCAGGTGGGCTGGTGCTGGTGCTGGTGCTGGTGCTGGTGCTGGTGCTGGTGTGCTAGGGCGTGGTCGATCAATTGTGTTCGCCCCAGATAAAAAATAAAAGTTACAACGGTGCCAGTGCCAGGGATATCTGGGATCGACCAGTAAGTAGCTGTACGTGTGGGATCCGGGGTATATGTATGTAATATCTGGTGCTAGCATACAATAGCGGGCGCAGGAAGGGGATTGGAAATCAAGAAAGAAAGGAAGAAAGAAAGATAAGATAAGATGCACAATCGGGGGTCGGGTCGGGTGTGTATGTGTATGGATGGGTATGTATGTATGTATGTGTGTGAGATGGGTATGGACAGGACGGGATGGGATGGGACGATGGGATATGTATGGTAAGCAGCAATGTGCAGCTCAACGCGCGAGTGGGGGCGCAACAAGAGAAAAACGTCACCAATGGGGTTGGTTGGTTGGTTGGTCAGCCTTTTCGATCGTTCAGCTTGTTCTCTCTCTCTCTTTTTCTCGTCTTGTCGTTAGGGTCGGGATTGCGATTTGCCCGACTTGCCCAATGTCAAGCACCACACGCGCGATCAGAGTGGAGATGGGAAAGTAATAGCAATAGTGGTAAAAGGGATTTCGGGCACAATGTGCGTGTGCGAGTGCGTGCGTGCGTGCGCAGTATGTGTGTGTGTGTGTGTGTCGTGTGTCGTGTGAGTAAGGTTGAGTGACGACTGGGCGCGCAGTGGGTAGTGGAGCTTTGGCGGAGCGAGCGTATCGCGTGCTCGAGAGGTGCTCGAGAGGTGCAGGCGACACGGGAGGGTGCCGTCGATTTGCGCTAGCTCCGGGATCCGCGGATGGACGTGCAGCGTGCGTGGTGGGCGATGGGCTGCGAGGATGCGTGGGTTGGAGTGTCCATGTGGATGTGTAGGTAGCAAGTAGAGAGGTTACGTCGGAAATCAACAAAGACGTCATGTCACTGGACTTTTTTTTGGGGGGGGGGAGGGGTGCTGGCAACTGGTTGCGTTAATGACTCTAGCGTTGAGAGCTAGCAGCAACTGTATCTATGTAACGTAACAAAGGCGGGGAAATCAAGATATCCAAACGCCCGAGCCCGCAGTGACTGTTTTCTCTTGTATTTAGCCTTGTTAATCTATTTATTTTCCTGCGCTTGCACACGTTGGTGTGTGGGTGGGTGCCAAGAGAGAGATGGATAGATAGCGACGAGCGAGGGCAAAAGGGCAATCCCACCGCCTCCATGTTTCCTGGCGATAACGCACACATGTGCATGCAAGCTAGCCGGTAGCACCAGCGCCAGCAAGAAAAGAGTGAAGCTTGGTCTGCTTGGGATGGTGATTGGGGCTGTAACTCGCCTGGTGGAGAAACAGCAGGGCGTCGGAGCTAAGCGGACGTTCGGGGCGCCGGCCTGCGACATGGGCTGTGGGCGCCCGGACGAAGAATCAAGGGACCAGCCGCCCATCCGCCATCCGCCATCCATCCGCTCATGCACAAGCATTCTACACATCGTGACGTGATATACACCGACACACACCTACAGTATACCTCCCTCTTCCTCTCTCATGATGCCCGCTTTTCTTAACATGACACTGATCAAACTCCCTCGTAGCGACTGCGCTGGCGCTGGCTTGTAGATATAATAAGCCTAGCCAAGTACGATTCCTACATCCATCCATTCCTAAATACATCCATTCATACATACATACATAAATACATAGTAAATAGAAAAGAAAAGACAAAGAAAAAAAAGGTCTCCACAGCACAAATCTCGATTATCCCATTAATACATTATCCACCCAAGTACTACATTCTGCACTGCCAATATAAACATCGGCAGACAGACATGCCAACCAAGGTATTTGGCCGTACCCAACCAGCCGGCCAGTCAGCCAGCCAACCATATTATACCATGTCATACCATGATTATGAATGAGCACGAGTAAGTAAAGTGTGTGTGTGTACAGCCCACCCCCCCCCCCCCATCCCCCGAAAAATTCAAACGGAACAATACGTTTCCTTGATCCGAGATGAAAGCCCGATATCCGTTTTATTCCGTCCCGTCTTGGGGATCGGGGACGTCCGCTCTTCCCGTCCACCGTCATGTGTATGTTTGTGTGAATGTATGTATGTGTGTGTGTGTGTCCTGCTCAGCTCCTATGTACGTAGTTATTTACTCGTGCTCGTTATCCAAGTATACTAAGTAGTACTAGTCCTAGTAAGTAAGTAAGTAAGTAGCTTTGCACATGTCTACTTAGTACGTAATCTGCCTTTTTGATTTCCCACTTCACCCCCTACTCACACTCATACTCATACTCATACTTGTAGTGCTAGTAGACCAGCTCTGCGCGGCACTCGTACAGGCAGACACATGCACATGGCAAATGCTACTTTCCCATGGGTGGTGCGCCTCTTGTCTTTTGCATCATTGGTCGGAACTTGGCGCCACATCAACTAACTAAGTACATGCACGAGCCACCACCGGGGTCCCTGAGCAGCGCCACACATGCACATGTCACGGCCGCCCTGGTCATCACTACGGTTGACACGCCATCACCATCACCATCAGCAGTACACAAACGCGTGTTTGACAGTAATATCTTTCGTTTGATTTGTTTATTGATTTCTCATCTCGTACCCCCGCCTACGCAGTCCTACTCTCCCAGACCCGATAGATATCCTTTGATATATTCGTAAAATCGTCAAGCAACAAGCAACAAGCAAGAAAAAAAAGAGGGGGGGGGGAACAAATTCAACGCCACCGTCTATGCAAAGACATAGCAAGGAATGCCGTACTATACATCATATTAGCAAGAGGCGCGATAAAAAAAAGGGGGAGAGGATATATAACATACGTTTGTAGGAGCGTTAAACTTGAGGTTCTTGTCGAGGCCCGAAATCTCGTCAATCTCGCTGTCCTTGAGGTCGAAACTGGTCACGTCGAGGTTCTGGGCGAGGCGGTTGGCCGAGTTGGACTTTGGGATGACGCTGAGGCCGCGCTGTGTCGACCAGCGGAGCAGAACCTGTGCGGGCGTCTTGCCGTGGGCATCGGCAATCTTCTTGATGACAGGGTGGTCAAACAGAAGAGGCGTGTCGGCAGCAACCTTCATGTCGCACTCGAGGAAGCTCTGCGGGCCAAATGACGAGTAGGCAGTCACCTTGATGTTGTGCTCGTCGGCCAGCTTGAGCAGGTTGGGCTGCACGTAGTAGGGGTGGTGCTCAATCTGGAGCGTGGCAGGCTTGACCTTGGCGTACGTGAACATGTCGAGGAGGAGTGCTCCGCTGTAGTTGCTCACACCAATGCTCTTGGCCAGGCCCTTGGTCTTGAGGTCCTCCATGGCCTCCCATGTGCTTTGTAGGCTGGCGCTGCTGTGCTCCACCTTGCTCTGGCCATCGTAGTACCAGCCCGGGGGGTAGCGCACCTTGGGGTCGACGTACTTGAGCGCAACGGGGAAGTGGATGAGGAACAGGTCAAAGTAGTCGACGCCCCAGTCGGCCAGCTGCTTGCGGCAGATGGGCTCGACCTGCTCGCGGTCGTGGAACGTTTGCCAGAGCTTGCTGACAATGAAGAGCTCCTCACGCTTGACAAGACCGTCCTTGATGGCGCGCGCAACACCCTGTCCGCACTCGACCTCATTGCCGTAGTCTGTTCAAGTCAGTTTGTGGTCTGTGGTAACAAAGGTCGCGGCACGTGAGCACGCAGCAACCCCTCCCCCTCCATGCCAGTTCCGAGTGACGCTAGCATTCCGATGCCGAAAAGCAAGGGTCCAGCAGCAGCCACCGGCAATTCCATGCTCAGCTTCAATTGCCGCGGTAGGCCTGGGGTAAAAAGAAAAGAAACGAAAAGAAAGAGGATAATAAACTTCAAACACGCAACCTCACGTACCGCAAGCTCCGTCAAACAGCCGGTATCCCGCCTTGATGGCGTTGTAAACCGTGTCGGCACACGTGGCATTGTCCACCTTCCACAGCCCAAAGCCCACCTGGGGCATCTTGTTGCCGTCATTCAGCGTGACAACGGGGACGTTGGCAGACATGGTAGCGAAGAAGCTGCGGCGGGCAACGTTGTTTGTTACGAGGACAGAGGGGGCGGTAGCAGCGGGTGCTCGTCGTGCAAGCCTAGAGGTGGTTTGAGAGGGAGACGAGGAAAAGGATCGGAGTAGTAGTGGTAGAGGAGCAGAAGAAGAAGAAGAAGAAGAAGAAGAAGAAGAAGAAGAAGAAGAAGAAGTAGTAGTAGCAGCAGCAGCAGCAGAGAAGCAGGCGGCGAAGCGCAGCCTATTAATACTACCGACACGGAGACAAGGCCTGGCAATCATGTTTGTTTTCCCTGGAATGGCCTTTTTTAACCTCGATTTTTGCACACGGAATAAGACAAAGCGGCCCCTCCCCTCCCCTCCCCCCCCTCTCTCACGCAGGCACAAACAGCCCGCCGTCTATATACGCCGCCTGAGAGGCTAGGGCGGGCCCAGATGATCCTGCCTCTTCAACCGGACGACTGGGTAAACCATGTGCGTGATTAGCACACCGTTGGTTCCCAAATTCGCCATCGGGCCGCCTGTCATTTTACCCTTGCTGGGACGCGCTGTATCTACTATACATGTACTGGTAACCAAGACTTTGGCAGCCGTTGCTTATTTACCATGTGCCCGTAAGTAAGTAGAGCTACGTGTGTTGCCCAGGAAAGAAAAACAGAGACCTCAACCATCAAGCACTCTCTCTCCCTCTCTCTTTCCTGCTGGCAACCCGGCAAATAGTGGTTTAAGGTTAAATGTCGGCTCGTCTCAACAAGTCGTCATGTTGACCTCTTGTGCTCACGCTGAGCCCGTCCGTTGTACCGTGTTTCTTGCTGCATCGGCATATGAAAGCGACCACGGCTCACCATGGTGGGGGGGTACCATGTGCCCCTCTCGATCCACAATGTGGCCCTGCCACTGCGCGGTAGACGGGTAAAGTAGCTGCTCCTCTCAAGGCACCGGATAATTAATTCGCACCATAGCCTTGATCCACTGCCGTTGCATCTTCACATTGGACACTCCACACTTCGGCTCTACACCTAGACTTGCGGCCACCGTGTTCCTTCGGCTGCCTTGCCAACTCTGGCTGTCTAGGCGTAGTCCGGCCAACGTGCTGCTACTCCACATGTCAAACCACCACCACCACCACCACATCCTCCTAGTCAAAAAGATAAAAAAAAAAGCCCCAGACAGCATGCAAAAGAGGAAACAGGGCAAAAGCTTGCCCTGGCTAAATCTTGGCCTCCATAACAATACACTATTCATACTAAAAACATGATGCCCCCCGAGGGACGCTCTCGTTCCCATTTTTCGTTGCGAGCCATGCCCATACGCCACGCCAAACACCGAGTAAAGTGCCCTCTTCGCTGCAAATGAACCTCGTCTATTTCCGCGAACTCGCCATCTCGCCATATCTGCCTCTCTGTTGTGTAGTGTCGTAGGCTTGCAGCACCCGAGCCTGTGACTCGTCCGTCTGCGAGAATGCGTATCCGCGCTGTTTGCGCATACGCTGCACCTGTCGCACTTTTCGAATCGCCTTTTGAAATTGCTCCATTCTGCAAGCCAGTCAGTACGTGTTGGGCGTCCAACAAAATCTAAATTCACATACCGTGGCCGATAGTCCTGGATGTTGTACTTTTGAATCTCCTGAACATGATGGTAGCTTTGCGGAAAGTACATTCTCTTGGCGTACTTCCACGCAAAGTCTCGGATCAAGCAAAGCGGCGGTAGCACTATAACCATGGCCCAGAACCGCGGGTCAGGGAAGAGTCGCTCAATGACGCCCACATACTCGTGCGACACGCCAGTCATGGGCGCAACCGTGGCATAGAGAGGCATGAGGATGAACCAGACAAGCATCGAGCCTGGAATAGCCAGCACAGTGTACTTTGTCCAGATGTTGGTGATGAGCGACGCCTTGAGTAGCACAGTCGCAAGATTAGCAGTGTAGGCTGCCGTGCCCCAAACCCAGTGGCCTGCGTTGCGCCCATCCCATTGCGGCCAGTCCCAGAGTGTGAAGGCCTGGGCGCCAAAGTAGAGAATAAGCGAGTGGTAGAAGCCGTTGCCGACCCAAGACCAGAATGAGTGCATCCTAAAGAAGACGCCAGACTGGCTGAGCCGATAGAGTTGTGGGTATCGGTCCAGCAGCCGCGCGCTCACAAACTGGTCAAAGATACCGAGGACAAAAGGCGGCGCCGCCGTGAAGAAGACATTGTAGAAAGTAAGCGTCCACGATTCGTAGATGATTTGACCAGAGAAGCCGTTTTGGAAAGAATACCAGAACTGTGTCATGAACATGGCAATGTTCTTGTAGAACGAGTACAGAATGACCTTGCTGACACGCTGGTAGCTCCACGCGCCATGCACAAGGAGAAGCTTGCGCAGGTAACGGAACTGGCCAATTGCAATGTCTGCACTGCGAGCAGCCTGGAGACCTTCGACACCGCTGATACCAACGCCAACATGGGCAGCCTGGATCATAGACACATCGTTGGCTCCGTCACCAATGGCCAGCAGAATCGACTTGAGATGGCGCTTGACGAGCTTGACAACGAGCGCCTTCTGGAGCGGAGACACACGGCAGCAGATGACAGCCTTGCACCTGATGGCGAGATCGAGAAACTCCTTTTCGATGTCGCGCTCCAGGGCATATGTCAGTGACTTTCCGTCAATGACAAGAGCGAGCACGTCCATTTCCGCTCCGCCCTGACTCTGGCTGGTGATTGCCTGGTACTTCTTGCGTATGTTGTCTCGGGTAGCTTCCTTGTTTTCTTCATTGATGATGAGAAGGCTCATGTCTTCGCTAATCAGCTTGCAACTCATGCCAATGTTGATGGCAGTCTCTTGGCGATCGCCCGTCAAGACCCAAACCTTGATGCCGGCCGATTGGAGAGTAGCAATCGTGTCTGGGACGCCATCCTGAAGCTTGTCCTCGATAGCAGTCGCTCCCAGTAGAGTCATGTCGCGCTCAATGAGTTCGGCAGCCTTGTCAAGCTCATCGGCACGGTTGCCACTGACCGTCGTCTGTGCAGTGTTGAAGATGGACCACCATTCGTGAAACTCGTCCTCGGGAATCTCGCGCATAGCCAGACAGAGCGTACGGAGTCCTTCCGAAGCGTACTCTTCCAGGTGTGTCAGGGTTGTCTCTACATAGGGATTGTCCTTTGAAAGCCTCTCCAAGATGACGGTATCAGCGCCCTTGGTGTAGCATATAATCTTGCCTTCCGGGGTGCGGAAGATGGTAGACATTCTCTTTCTGGTCGAGTTGAATTCGCACACAGCCAACAGTTCGTATTCCAGCTGACGGCCATCGACTTGGATGATGACAGCACGCGGTTTTCTGGCAATGAACCTGTAGCCCAGAGTCACTGCGCCTTCGACCAAAGCGCCCTCATCCGGAGAAGCGGCCTGGTACTTGATAGCGCCCTTTTCTCCTTTCATTTCGGGAATAACCGTATGGCACGTTGCGAGAAGCGTGAGAAACTGGTCGATGATGTGCCTGTTGGCGTGCGATTTTCGGTTCTGTTCGAGCTGCTGGAAGTCGTGGATTCCAACCTCGATTCCATCTTCCACCGTGGCACGTCGATCCTCAGGCACCTCGTCAGCATACTGGATACCGGCAATGGTCGACTGCCTGAACTCCATCATGTTGCACGTCAGGGTGCCCGTCTTGTCCGAGAAGATGTATTCAATCTGGCCTAGTTCCTCGACCAAAGACGACGTCCTGCATTTGGCCGGTGTGTCTGTCGGCTCGTAGTAGATGTCGAGGTCGGAATCAATCAGACTGCCAGTGTAGTACTTGACGATTTCAATCGTGACGAAGAGCGAGATGGGGACCAAGTTGGAGTATAGGACCCAGTAGGTCAAGAGATCGCGGAAGAACTGCTTGGCGCCATTGAAGTCCGGGAGGTCGAGATAGGTGAGGCTGTTTCGTTGGGTGGACTGAATGACAACGTCGCCAATGGAACTGATGATGCTGAGACAGATGAGGATGACGACCAGCATGAGAATCTGCTTGTTGACCATTCGCTCGACGGCTGTCGTCTTGATAGGGGTGGCGGTGGCGTTACGCATGAGCTTGGTCTCGTGTCCTGTAAAAACGACCACACCGTGGATCCAGGGGGTATTTCGGAGTGTGGCGCCACGCAACAACAGCTGGTCGGGAGCCAATGGCAGCTCCTTCTCTCCGCCACCGGCGGTGATGGTCAGGGTGGCTTCATAGGTATAGAGACTGCTGTTGGGCTGTTCGGATCGGATTCTGCCGCCGAGCCTGGCCAGTTCAGCGGGACTGACAAAGTCGGCCGTCTCGGGGATAGCCTGCTTGATCTTGAGGTTCGTCTCGCCGTCCAAGTTGGCCGTCTCAATGTAGCAGAGGCCCTCGGGCTCGGAAGAGGCGAGAAGGACCAGGTCGGCAGGGAAGGGCTGCTCCGACTCGACACGCACAATGTCGCCGACTGCCACATTGACCCACTTGGTGTCTACAAAAGACGAGCCTTTGAGCACCTGGGCTTTTGAGTTGTTGAGGTCCGAGTCGGACTGTTTGCGGCGGTAGTCTTCAATGTACTCCTTGATGGCCGACACGAGCAAGACGATGCCGAGCGGGACGATGGTGGTGAAGCGCGATGTGGGAGAGATGCCCGGGATCTGCTGGAGGACGGCGGTGAAGAGGAAGAAGAGGTTGGCGTACTTGGAGAACTGCTCGTAGAGGAACTTGGGCAGGAAGGTGACAATGTTGTACTTGGACGTCGAGATGTGATTGTCGACGTACTTGTTGGCGGCATTGGCGGGCGGGTTGTTCAGGTGGATGATGCGGGGGCCGAGGGTCGAGGGGTCGGGGGTGCGTCCGCCAAAGCCAAACTTGAAGGTGGCCAGGCCCTTTTTCTTCTTGGCCGACTGGCCGTCGTCGTATGCGCCGGGGCGCGTGTCGCTGGTAGCGGGCGGCTGCTGGTGGGCAGCGTTCTCGGTCAAGGGCATGTCCATCTCCGAGTACTCGGAGCCGCGGCCGAGCATGTTCTTGACGCGCCCCGTCAGGCCGCCGCCGAGGCTCAGAATACTATTCCTGTTGTGCGCCTTCTTGGAGCCGCCGCGGTGCAGGTCGGGCGAGTTCTGGTCGTAGGCAGCGCCGGCGGCGTAGTAGCCCTGGGCCGAGGCGTCGTCATCGGCGGGGATGTCGGCGTCCGAGTATCGCTGGTAGTTGTGCAGGTCCGACGTCTGCGAGTAGGCCCTGCTGTTGTGGTCGGCGCCTCCCAGATAGGGCGTTGTGGGCGCGCCAGGCCCTCCCGGCAGGCCTGGCTGGGAGCGCGGACGGCCGCCGACAAAGTCATCGTACGAGACCGAGGGCCGGCCCTGCGGCGGCGCATCCGAGGCGTCGATGTCGTAGCGGTGGAGGAGGTCGTGGTCGGGGGCGGGCGGCGGCTGGCCCGACGAGTATGCGGGCTGGTGGTCGTCAAAGTCGATGAGGTTGTCGCTGGGAGACGGCGCGCCTGGCGGCCGGCTGGCCATGGCGGCCGGATGTCGTGGGGGTCGTCGTCGTCGTGCGTGTCGTCGTGGTTGGTGTCGGGGGGCGGGGGAGTCGGCTCAGGGCGCGTGGTGAGCTACTTCATGGGATGCGCGGCGGCAGCGGTGTCAACGGCACTCAACGGCTGCGGGGACACGGACGCCTGGCGGATGGATGGGTAGCAGCCAGCAGCCAGCAAGCAGTGCGGTGGCCGCCCGAGCTTGGGCGCGGCTTCGGGTG